CAATTTGTATTACACACGGCAAACAATGCACATATAAACGCCTCTTCATCCCCGATATGTTTGCCTTTAATTAATGCGTTTAATAAAGCGAGCCGCGATATTCATCGCGATAAAATAATGCGATATAACGCGAGTATTATACGATCACGGGATGAAATAGCGCGTTAAATGTAACGGGGATTAAATCGAAGATAAAATTAACGAAGTTTATCGTTAACGCGCTCGCCCTGTTCAGAGATAATGACGGCCGAATCGTGCTGTCTCGTCCGGAACGTAATTTATGTGAAATCATCTCTTAAATTGTACGTAAAAGGATACAACAAATTGTACTTACGAGACGACATGGAACACCGCCGATTAGCACGTTCAACTTTGAACTTTTGTTTCGTGGGGACCTTTGAGAACGATCGATCGTGTAAGTAGCTTCAGTATAATACGTCTGTCCTTTGTAAACATACTTGCTAAATTATATCTCGCGATCTATTCATTTCTCTCTCTCTCTCTCTCTCTCTCTCTCTCTCTTTCTCGTGATCTATTCATATCCTCTCTTCTATTGAATGTCGAATTTACACTATGTTATTTTGAGTACAAACAGTGCAACTTAGTGCAGCTATGAGAAATCTAATAATCGAGATAAATGTTTCCATCTTTTCTCGATTTCTCTATTTTTATTCTATTTTATTCTGAGATTTCGCTCTGTTGAGATTGCTTCAACTTAGCTGCATCGATTCTTGACAAATAATTAAATCGAAAATACACCGTAAGTACACCGTAATATCTCACAGCGCATAGACGTATAATATCCAGACCGCGCGGTCTCAACGTTTCCCTTTGCTAGAATGCGTCAGAAATTAGAAAGAGATGGTTGCTGTACGGGTACCATTTTGTCTTTTTCTAAAGACGCGTGGTAGAGTGAAGAAGCCTTTGGTGGGGGTGGAAAAGGGAAGGTAGAGGAGAGTGGAACAATACAAGTAATCCTCACTCCAAACATTATCAGAGAAGACAGAATGTAACCCCGCCCCAAAGCATGCTCTCTCTTTCTAATATTTGACGACTTTTCGGCCGAATGCGCGCGGTCTATAGTGATTATACGTCTATGTCACAGCGTGCTCGGCAGCGCTGCGTCGGAAGTATCGATTACTTCGCAACGTCGATCTCTGTGTTATGTTCAAGCAGTGCACGAATTCGCGCTGCATCTCCTTTTTTGGCGTGCTCAGGGCAAGCATAGCGCGCGGGTCATCGTTGGAAGTACCGAAAGAGTAAGTGTCGCGCATTCGTCGGAGTGAAATACCGTCATCGTACGACTGACGAAAGTGCATATTTCGCAGGACAGATCGTCGAGAGTGCCGGCTGACGACCCACGCTTTCCTCGCGTTACGACAGTTCAGAGTTGAAATCGCCGGTGATTTACGCCGTCAAGCCGTCGCGAGGAGGTCTATTATCTCTAGGAATGCCGAAGTGAATAAGTAAGTTCTCCCGTCGGCGTCGTCTCGCAGCAAAGTATCATAAAATCGCATAAAGTCGCAGCACTGTAGAAAGTATAGAACGTGCATTGGCCGGAGCGGTCGGAGGTATCGCTATAAAATCGTTAACATATCCTAGAGATATTCATTTCGGAGTCATTTCGGGCTTCTCGTCACCCTACACGGCGTGATGTCTGTTTGGTGGTCTCGGGCGGGCGACCGCCCGAAAACCGTCCATCTTGATATTTCGAGAATCGCAATCGTTACGAGATATGTGCCTACGTTCAGTGTGCATGAGCGGCCATTATGACGCGACGAAGCGGTTTTTCTCGGGAAGTGTCCGCTCCGTGTTTCTCGCAATTTCGACTCGCGCTCGCGCGTGTCTGTCGTTGTTCCGGGAATGAGCGTTGTGCGTTTGTTTCAACGCTACGTCGTCGAGTCGCTGGAATCGCCGCCGAACCGACGAGTGCCCCGCGATCGAGTCATCGTGAGAGATGATGACGTCGGTTAGAACAGATTTGTCGCGTGGTAGCCATTAGGAGTGCGGATATTCATACTGTGCTTCCGATTCATCAGAGAGAGACGGCCGCGTGTGAATCGTCGTCGGGAGTCCCGCAATTGAGTGAGTGATGGGATGTCGCGAAGCGACCGTGTCAGGAAGTCTTGGGGAAACGAGTCGTCGGATGTTCGTCACGTTACGGCAGGTCAGGGTTCTAGTCGCTCCGTTCTCTGCGCGTCTTTCAACTCGACGCGAGAGGACAGCTGGTGAGTACCAGAGAGGTTATATAGTTCCCCCGTGTGAGATTTTTGCATGTCGTGTCACACAGTGCATTCGCGAATTCGAGTGAAACGTCGGACAGGATCGACAATGAAAACAATCGTATCGCCTAGAATTACGGGTGGAAACAAACGATCGAATAAATTGAAAATTTCCCGTCGGATATATATGGAGCTTAGTCTCAGGCGATACTATTATCATGACTATTGTCATTGCACAAATGAGATGTTACCAAAGACCGACATTCACGTATGGCACTTTGTGTGGTTGTTAATATTTGAACAGTTAGTTTATGATAATACGGCACTTGTCATTTGCACATCTGTCACTTTTCAATCATTCGTGGCTTCTATTTCTACAATGAGTAATCGCAGCGCCATGCGGTTTTCATGGATCATCTTTATTTCATACCTAGATTAATGTCTTATTACACATAATTTGTTAACTTATACTTCATGGTACATCATTTTCGCATCGATCTATGTCGACCTTTCGGCCTTCTGTTTCTCAATGACGCGTAACGTTATTAAATCGTTAAATCGACCGTAACGTTGAGTCGACGTGGTTAAGAGCGCGGTTTACGAATTATTGGAAAATATATAAATATGTTCCGAGCAGTACGAGAAATTCTGTGAAAATTTCTAAACTCCGATATTTTGAGCAACGTCTCAATTTGTTTACTTCACTACGGTTGCTACTGTTTATTTAACTAAAATGAATTTTTTGTGTATGACATTGCCCTTCATAAAACCGGTGTAAAACTAAAATCCCTGCAAAATCCATCGATATATGATGACGGCACTCGTGTAGTAGGACGTAAGTATGCGACCTTGGTCTCAATCTGTCCGGCTTTGTTTTTCCACTTCGAGAAGCAGAATTATTTGTTTACCCTCGATCAAGGACTCTAGAACTACATGAAGAAAGGAGGCAAAAATCTGGCTAATTGGTGAGTTTCCACGAAAATGAGGCACTAATTTTACACACGCTATCTGTTGCAATTAACACATTGTCTTCCGCATGTTGTAATTTCCAAAATTTTAGTCCTCCTGAGGCGGCAGTCGGCGCGGCATCCGTATAAGCCGAGAACGTATGGAAAGCCTTTAATCCCAGCGGAGCATTAAGCATTCTTCGGGTCGCGTTATCCCGCCGAGCCGAGCTCGGCCGAAAGGGTTAAGTGACGAATAACTGTACGGCTTACCTTAATTCCGTGCGGCGGTCGTTCTATAGTATATCGCGCGCGCGCGCGTGCGCCTAAATCGGTAGAAACTGCCAAAAGCCTTGCCTACGCGCGTATCTACGCGTAGTACGCGTATGTACGTACGTTTGTACATTTGTACACGTACGTGTTACATATTACGTACAAGTTCGGATGTTTATGCTGCGGGCGAAAGCAAGGCGTAGCGGAAGTAACTCTTGCAGTGGCAATAAGCATGCGCTATGGTTCCCTCATGCATATTCGGCAGAGGTAAACTTTGCTGCGAATTCGCCCGGCGGCTTCGCGCTGGTAGTTTGCTCGCAGCTACCTAATTAACTATCGCGGCAAATAACTTTCGATAACCCCGATTACGCGGGGAGGAGGAGGGCCTCGGCTTACGCGACACGTGCAATCAACCTGTCGAGCTACCCGCCGCGAGGCGAGGTTCTCTCGCTGTTCACCTTCAGGTTTATGTGCACGTCATGTGAACAGCGGCGGCGGGAAGGGCGGAGCAGGAAGGGAAAGGGGGTTTCTCTCTCTCTCTCTCTCTCTCTCTCTCTCTCTCTCTCTCTCTCTCTCTCTCTCTCTCTCTCTCGTTATCGTTGCGGGGCGACGAGGAGGAAATTTTTGAATAATTCCAAACGATTCGGAAAGTGCCAAACGCTTTCCAATTCAAATGCGACTTTCTCGATTCCGTCCGCGGGCGAAACTAAAAGCAGCTCTCGTCTCTCCGCTAAGAGGATGTAAAGCCTGAAAATAGAAAAGCGCGAGGATGCCGGCCCTCGCGCGCGGGCGCGCGATGTAAAATGCAGATAAAATAAGAAGGTTGGTTACTCCTAATGCTCTAGGACGTAATCCAATTACAGCGCGCGACGTTCAAACAATAGAAAGACCTTGGGTGGGGCAGTTTAATAAAAGAAACCTGCAAATAGAAAGAAACACAAGTGTGAAATCTGCTCGGGCGACTCAGTCTTTCGCCGCGTTTTCTTTCGCGTTTCGCCCTTGTCCTTATCCCTCCTGTCCGGAGTCGAGGGAGTAACATAGTGACACTCCAAGAAACGCGTCGCCAAGTGCATACTAACGTGCATACAAACGAGGGACGACTGTTAAGGACGCTTGTCGGAATTAAGGACGCTATCCGGTAAAACGGTATTTTCCCCGTCGTAAGGAATAACGTTACACTCGTGCCTGGTTTCTCGTTGCCGATGCCGAGAGCATTTACAGTTGTCGTCGTCGTCGTCGTCGTCGTCGTCGTCGTCGTCGTCGTCGTCATCGTCGTTGTCGTATCGCAGTGTCGAGAAAAGATTTCCCCACGCAGTTTACACGGAACGTTTACGCAACGCTCGCAAGTGCTCGTTTCGTCGTACGTTGTGAATTATCATCGTCGCGTTGCTCGGGTAAAAAGCGACGAGACGTCTCGAAACGATCCGAGAAGCGCCTGCCAGAGCCTGTGGAGAAGTGAGAGAGAGGGAGGGAGAGAGAGAGAGAGAGAGAGAGAGAGAGAGAGAGAGAGAGAGAGAGAGAGAGAGAGAGAGAGAGAGAGAAAGAAGAAACGCGACCGTAGAATTGTATAAAAAAATTATATCGCAACCGCTTCGCCGACGTAAGGGTGAAGAGGTGCGTGCACTTTTATTCGCCGCTGTGTCTCATTCCGCGTTACATTCTCCTCTCGATAACGGTACAGCTCCTTTAGAAAAATATCACAGCCCAATCGCGAGAGCCAGCTGTTCGCTTAATGAAACTTTCAACGATCCTAAACACGCCGATCCCCGAGTTATTGCGTTGTCCTCCCTCACACATCGGACCTGTTCGTTTGCGCGAGTTTCTTCGGCGAGTCTCTCACGGGTTGCGGGAAGAACAGCGACAGGCAGAAGCACACTGCGAAAATGAACAGGTGAGAAATCAGATCGGGAAAATCCGTGGAAATCCATGTTAAAATATTCGATTAGACTCTTCGTCGGGCAAATGAGGCCGCTGCACGTGGCATGCGCGTTAATCATACCGGTGAAGAGGCAGCCGAGGCCGGTAAAGGCGACGATGCACTCGTCGCCTAGAAGCGCGGAGAAAATCAAATTTCCCACGATGGCGCCGATATTTCCAATCGTCACGAGAACGCTGCCGCTGGTAGCCCTGCGAAAGATTCATTTCCGTCGCGCGGATGTATTTATCTCGGCTCACGGCCCGTATCCCCCTTTCTCACGCGTTAACGACGTAGCTATGGTAAAAAGGACGAGTGGAAAATTGATCTCTCGATAAAATCCGAGACCAAGATGCACGGTGCGCGCACTCTCTTCCTCGCGTGCGCGTGCTCCATGTGGTTGCTCGCGGTGCAATTAATTTCTACGTTACGGAAGAGAGACGCGTGAGAGCGAGAGAAGGAGATAGGGAGAGAGAGAGAGAGAGAGAGAGAGAGAGAGGGGGGGGGGGGAGCGAATGAGGAGGATACGAGCGCGCATCAAAGAGACGCGCTTATATTCGCGTGGCATTACCTTAATGGGACGGGAATAACGTCGACATTCACCGCGGTAACGACATTACCCGCTATTCTTGTCGTCACGATAACCGCTGCCGCCAGCGTCAGCATGTACGGCGGAGACTGCGCCCAATTTATTCCGAAACTGCTTGCCACCGATATCAAGAAGGCCGTCACTGCAACAATGGTGTTGTACCCGTTAATTTACGGATTGCTCCCCAGAGGTGGGATCGCGAAAACAACGCTTAACCACTTCTGCGCGGCGTATAACTGGAATACGAACACAGGGTGTCCCCGAACGTGTGCGGCCTTAATTTTCATGATGGTCTCCCCAGTGAATTTGAGAACCGGTTTTTTTGTCCGAGACGAGAAATGTTGGCGCTTCGCGAGTATCACGCGCATTGAATGCGGCGGGAAAGAATCATCGTTTTGTAGGGACTCGTGTAACGCGCAATTGTGGTTTTTTCGCGAGACGATAATAATTACGTCGCACGGGGGAAAAGGGAGAAGAGAATAACGCAACAATGTCTTACGCATTACGATCTGCTTGCGAAGCTTGGTGTTCATGATGAATCCGGCGAGGAACGAGAACACGACCGCCGACGACGCGATTATGGTGGAATTCTGATAGACCACGGGATTGATCGTCCACTGAAAATGCAACGTCGCAATTGTTATTACGTGAATCTGTCGTTTACGACAGGATAGCTAGCGAAGTTCGTCATTTGCGGCTGATTAACGATCGAACCAATTAAATCGGCATCGTTAATTGAAAACGTTACGCTCTTGTTAAACGAAGTGGCTAACAATCACGCGCACGAGCACGCGCGCGCCTTTCACGGGCCTACATTCTCTCTTTTCCCTTTTGTTCCTTTGAGTTCCTTCATTACGTCGCGCTCGTGCTCGGGTCGAGCGACGAGAAAGACACGCGGTTCGTGTTGACCTCGTGCGGCTATTACCGACCTCGAAGCACGCCTCGTCGAAATTCGAGCAGTTCAGGTAACGACGGCCCGGTAAAGCCGCGCGTCGCTCCAGCATCTCGCACATAGTCGGCTGCCTCGTGCCAGGTGTCCAGTTATCCGCGTCGAAGTTGTTGAGGATGATGAACATATGCGGCACCCACAGTCTCATCGTATTGAATCTGCGCAAACGATCGAAACGCCCGTCATCGTCCTCAGTCCTCCCCGGTGGATCGCGATCTCTCCCGATTCGCGATCGTTATCGCGTCGCCCGCACGACGCCAACTTACCCGAGCATACTTCCAAATTGGAGGAAACTTACGAAGCAGAAGGCGGGCAGGTAGGCCGTCGACAGCAGCAGCTTCGTGTTGTACAACGAGACGCGCATCTTCTCGAGACTCGCCTCGAGCACGGGACGCGCCGATTGCGTCTTTTCCGGCGCCAGCAGCGCCCTTATCTGCAACGAAAGAACGAAGGCGGGACGATGAAAGGCGCCTCTGCCTCTGCCTCTGCCTCTACCGATTCGCCCGGTGAATTATGCGTTCGATTTGCCGCGACGGTATCTCAATGTATAACGCGTGGTATTGCCGCTCGCGGCAGAGGAGACGGACAAATTTATCAAGCGTGTTTGTTCGTCATCGAACGCGCAAAATAGAGATTTATCGTCCGAAGACGATAATTTACAGTAGAAGAGAAAAAAAGAAGGCGCGAGAAAGACGCGGCAACACACACCCCTCTTCTACCTCCCACCTCCGTCCGCGACTGTTTTCATTCGCCTGAAAAATGCGATTTGCGTCTTTCTCTACTTCCGTTTCCGCTTTGCCCCCTCCCACTCATTCCCTCACTTCCATCTTTCTCTTCACTGGACGTGCCGTAAATAAAACGTGTCGTTTGTATCTAGCGGAGGCGCTATGAAGTCGCGGAGGATATCTCTCGGCCATTTGTTAAAGCCCGAAACAACGAGTCCGCTCGATAAGCGCGCCCGGTTAAAAGATAATAACGCCCTCCGAATAATGCAATATCGTTGTTGCCCGAGCCGGGGGGCCGGGAGAATGAGGGGTGTGAACTCCCTTTCTCTCTCTTTTCCTTTCTCTCTCTCTCCCTCTCTCTCTCTCTCTCTCTCTTTCTCTCTCTCTCTCTCCCTCTCTCTCTCTCTCTCTCCCCCCTTTCGTCTCCTCTCGCCCTTGCCCCGCTCACGCGAAAATCCTCCGTCAAAAACAGCGCTGAATGAACGAGATGGATTGAGCGGAGGAGAGAGATGGATTCGCGGCTGCGGCCGCTATCAATCGTTAATGAATTCGGTTCGAAATCGGCACTCGGGATGAAAAATCGAATTACGCGATGAAAGTTGAATAGTCGCGGAATTACTCGGCTTACCGGGAACATTTCCGGGGGTTGTCCGGTATTCATGCGGTACATTCGCCTGAGTAAGCTCAAGGCGGCGTCCGACCTGCCGATCGACATGAGGTGCTTAGGGCTGTCCGGCAACATGGCCGACATAATGAGGCCGATGACGTGAGGTATCGAGCAGATCAGCAGGTATATACGCCAGGAGTCGTAGCCTCGTCCGAAGATGTCGATGTACCAATCCAACGACAGTATCGTAAAGCCCAACGCTGTCGGGTCGCGAACGTGTTTGATTAACGGGCCGGATTAACGAAGGCGCGTTAAAGGGGAGGCGAGCGTGTTCCTACGTCCCTATATTTTCTCTTGTCTGCTCTCTTCTCATCTCGTCGGGTTAATTCTTTGTCCCTCGAGAAGAGGTTCCTGCCGAGGTCTGCCCGAATTCTCGAGCTTTTCGCGGAGAATCGTCGCCCTCGTGATAGACGACAATATGGAAAGTCTTAATCGGGTGAAAAGTTTGTTCGGGCAAAAAAGTAACACGCGCCGCTAATGCCGGGGAAATTGAGATATCGTATACGTATATCAGGAATGTGCACACCTGATGTGAACCTGGCAAACAACTTAATAAAAAAAAGAAATTTTCAATACGGTTCGATTGTATTTCGTTTGTAACTGTTTGTGTCACTTTTTGCTTCATTTGTATCTCAAAGAACAAAAAGATAGGAGCAGGAGAAAAAATTGCCAGCAAGCAAGTATAAAATATCCGAAAACAGTCAACGCCATCCGAACGAAGGAGAATCGTTTGTACCCGTCTGTACTTCTCTTCAAATCGTTTGTACCTCAAGGGGACCGGAAGTACGAAAATAACCTTCCGACATATTTTGAAGATCCTATACTTCCGGTTCCTTTGAGATACAAACGAAACAAAAAGTGGTATACAAACAGGCACAAACGAAGTATAATTGAATCGTATTGCGAATTTTTTTTTTTTTTTATTATTAAGCTGTTTGCCAGATTCACGTCGGTAATATACACGCATGCAAACACACACGTACACCGTCTGGCGCATCATGCGGCTAGAAAGCGACGGCAAATAATCTTGGAAGTAAATTAATTAACTTCTTGTAGCTTGGCGCGCTCGATATCTCTCGCATTCAGCTGGAACCAGTCGGTGCCAATGTGATTCATCGCACGCGTTGTTAGGTAAAGTTCGCTGGTTATTACACACAGGACTCCGCGATAGTGACACGTAATCTAGTTTCGAACTAGTTCCGCCAGCCCCGACGCTACGACGAACTGTAGCGAGTTGCGCGCGGCGGGATCCCTTCTGGATCCTTTTCGCGAGCGTGAGCCACTCTCGGCGCGACGTCTTGGTCGCGTTTAAATGCAAGTCGATTTCAGCATGTGGAAACAAACGATCGTCATAGTAATAATACTAACAATAACCATAGATGCAAAGGGGAACAAAGTAACCGCGGCTGCAAATCAACGCGAACACGTTCGTTGCGTTTCCCTGAGATTGACGTCTCTTTCTTGCTCGAAATGTTTCCTCGGAAGGTTTCGCAAGGTTTCGCATTCTGTCCTGAATGTAACTCGAAGCCAGCTCTCGCGCGTATTCGCGTTTATTCGTAACGGGTAACGCGACGTCGTTATTAATAACCGCGATGCATTGCGAAAGACTTATCGCGCGATCGCGCGGTCGCGTGTCTACCTGCCGGCATGATGTTCGCCACGGCGAAGAGGAATCCGGCCCACGTGGCGAAGCGCGGCTTGTACCTCGCCGAGTGAAACTCCGTCAGGTACGTCATCACCATCGCCAACGGGCCGCCCGCGCTGTAAATCATAGATGTGCGCGTTACACACCGCGCGTATCGGACCGTGAGGTTGCGAGGGAGGGGAAAGGAGATCGCGATAAGCTTTTGGCGGTCGAGCTTGCTCGCGCGAGAGTCCCGAGGAGAAGCGAAAGAGAAAATGCTCCCGTGTCCCGTTAGGACTCTCGGGAGAGAAAAAATCGGCAGTAAAGTACCCTTATTAATCAGTGAAGCACCGTTGAAAGTTTGACAACACGAGTATCCTCGTTGAAAGAGATTTCTCGGCCACTATGCACGTGAACGCGTTCGATTGATTGACTTTCGTGTTTTTCGCGGAAGAGAAGGAAAATAAAGGGAGAAAGAGAGAATACTCACAGAACACCGCTGACGAACTTGACTAGTAGAAACACATAGTAGGATTGCACACCACTGCTCAAGATGTTCAGGATCGAGTCACCCAACAGCGCGAGGATGAACAGTGTCCTCAAGCCGACGTAAGGCGTTATGTAGTCCCATATGAATGCGGTCATTGTCATAGCTGGGGAAATTGAGTCTCGTGAGAACTCGAGCGCGCCGCGTCGGTTGACTTTAATTCGCGTCTCGTACCTACGTAAGGAAACGCGACGAGGACACCTTTCCGGAAGAACGTGAGCTCGAGGTCGCATTCGGCTGACGCCAAGATGAATGCGCCGGAAGTAGTGTCGAAAACGGCGGTCCACGCGATCGGTAACGTCGCGAGCAGCAGCAGCACGTTGAACAGTCCATAACCTGAAATAATGAAGCAGCGAAATGCGAGAGTACGAGAAACTGCTGTAAGTTTTGACGGTCACGTCGAGAAAAAATGCGGTCTTACCGGTCGCGGAGATGGCTTTATCGAAGTCCGCGGGTTCGTAAGTATTATCTGCATTATCTGAAAAACGAAGAAAGCCTTCGTGTGTTTTGTGTACGTGAACGTTACGTAATGAACGGTTAAAAATATGATATCGGAGCGTCCGGATCAGTAGACTGCGCGTTGCTTGCGAATAAAAATATCCAATTGCAGTAAATAATTTACATAATTCACAAGCGATAATTTATATATAATTTGTAATTCACAATCTATTTATCAAGATACGTCCACGCACACTTTAGTGAAAATACAGTATTTTCGCTTGTTCACTTGTCTTTGAAACTTCAATTTTTCGCACATGCACGTAACTCACACCCATGCGGATTATGCACGTTGAAATCGCGCTGAGTGAATTTCCATATTGCTTCTGCGACTCTCGATATCGATGGTCATATTAGACGAAAATAAAATTTATATCTCTACATGTGCGTAAACAAAAATACATACTCAATTCGCGCATCAATACGCACGCTCACAAAAACGCTATTCGAACCGTCGAGCTGTGCAAGCCCGATGCATCAACGAAAACACCATGTGCAAACAATTGGCGGGAGAATTCCCTGCGGAAAACCCTGGAACTTTTAGGTCGCGGAAAGCTATACCAGTCGTCAGCGCGCGTGCACAAATAAATTACACGATCGTCCGGAAATGCCGCGGTATGCCGGCTCGGGCTCGGTACCGTTGGGCGCATTTCACTAAAAGGGCCGAGTGTTCTCACCGGTTATCGTGGCGATCTTGTCATTGTCCCGGTCAGTCGCGAGCATATCCGACGCGGCGAGCTGAAGAGGCGACTGCGCTCGACGTGATGTAGTCCCGCTTCCCAGCACTCAAAATAGAAGCCCGTCGTCGTCGTTGTCGTCGTCACCGGCGCTCGACCTCGGTGGCGATCTCGTTTGGCCAGGTGTCTCTCGTGCCGCTCGGCCGTTGAATTCTCTAAGTGCCGAAAAAATAAATTTCGCCGCGGTGACGGATCGTCGGGGAAGTGCACGAGGTTCACTATGCACAGAGAAGCGGCTGAAGCCCGCGCACCGGCGATTCAGATATGCATTTTCTTTTACCAACGTGATCCGCGGCTGACTTCGGCTCTACGAATACGATTTGATCGGACTTTGCAGAAGCGCGAGCGAATGAGCTCTGGCCAGCTTCCCGCTTCGCGATCGCTCTGTAACCTGCCAATAAAAACGGGTCAAACGATTCAATTGTCAGCCGCGTCTCAGCTGTTCCTCATTAAACGAGTCCCGACGTCTTTAGGTCTCCGCGACATCGTATCGATCGTATCAACTAGATTGTTTTTTTTTTAACGCGCTATACTTTTTATAAGAATAGCTTCAATCACGTAGGGCGAGTACCGAGTCTTTTTGATTTATATCTTTTTTTTAAATGATATTTCTTATAAATATAAAATTAATTAATTTATACTTTCATACGCTTTTATATATTTTTATGCTAATAAGTTTGCAATCTTATTTATATTGAAGTCCGATAATATTTTTAATTAAAATTAAAGATATCTCTTGCGCTTATTATGATAACACAGATATTTTTGAATATAGCAAATGTGGCTCAGATAAGCGTTAATTTGATGTAACGCAATATTTAAGTCGTTTAATCTCAAATTGTACGTTTTATCTCTAATTTTACGAAATCTGGCGATATCCATCAAGATCGTTACCGTTAATACCGAAAATCTTGCCGCGAATAAAAAATATCACGTACCGTAAATTACGTGTCAGAGGAAATGATATGGAATTACGAGATACAGATACTTCTTCCGTTGTGATTTCTCTCGTGATCCTATGACGATAAATGATTACAATCACAGGAACTACGATACGATCCGAAAGATTAAATAATTAAAAACTGGACATGACGTACTTACTGTTTTATTTATAGAGATTTCAAAAGCTTACTTCTCGATAAGATAATCAAGCTCTCTCGATAGCGCCAAGCTTCTCAGCGTTTAGTCCGCACAGCTTGATCAATCAACTCAGTAAAACACACATAGTGAGAATGACTGAATAAACATACACTGCACTATATATACACATATTCAGCGGATTTTTATCAGTACATGTTTGGAATTATCTGCCCGATGTTCACTCACATTGATAACGTATTCACTCGGACCCGCGGCACTTTCGCAACGTGATATTCACCTTCGCGATTTTCCGTCACAGCCGTGAGAAGGGCGAGAACATTTCTATCGGAAGCGCGCGAAAGGGAAATAGGTTCGCATTAAAACAATGGCGGAGGGTATTCTCGGGGAAATGTGTGGGATCGACGAAAAACTCGGAGAAAGGTGCAAACAGGCCCGAATACAATCAGGATAGAACTCAGAACGTGAAAACGAGCGTTGATCAACTTATAGACATGACGCGACGCGATTCTCCGTTTCGTCATCACGTGAAGAAGTAAAACTTTGCGGCGGCGTGCCACTTATCGCGATTAACATTGCAAATACAGTCACCGCGTAAATACACGCTCGCGATTCTCGCAAATTACTGCACGTGTGCGCGTTGACACTCGCTCGCGCATTCCTGTTCATTACGAGACGTGTCCTTAACTGTCGAGATATGGTTTCAATCAATGTGACGACGGAAGCAGTAACGATTGCCGCGTGTAACCGATACGCTTGTTCGCGCGTGGAAAATCTATCGGATCTCGCCAATTGAGCCCGCCGAGGAGAACAATGGGACTCGTCGTCGGACGTCACATTTTTAGGCTGCAGTCTCGCAATTATCCCGATTGACTCTGCAAAATCGCAGTGTTGCTCTCAAACTCGCGCGTTTCACAACGTAAATAAATAATAAATACTAACGCAGGTCCTCTCTTCTTGCTTTTCATACTTCGTGCTACAACACCTGACGGCAAATCCCAGTTAAAATTCAAAGGGAACAGCGTACCATCCCTTATTCCCTTTGACGCAATCCTGTGGCCCATATCGTTCCAGTAGACACGTCGAGAGAACGCGTTATTAATTTAGATAATAGCTGAGCCGGGGTAAAAGGCGATTTTTCCTTTGCGCTTTTGCCGCCGCGAAGGCGGTCATGTCATTTCCCGCGTGCAGACATACGCTTTACGTCGGCAGAAACGGAAATGGATATTTGATCCGGTGGTGTTACGCTGGCCTTTGGTCACCCTCCTCTCTCTCTCTCTCTCTCTCTCTCTCTCTCTCTCTCTCTCTCTCTCTCTCTCTCTCTCTCTCTCTCTCTCCTCTCTTCTCTCTTCCTCCTTCTCTCGTCCTTTCTCGCTTGCTCGATGTGTCCGACTCAGTTGACAAGAACACGAGAGTGCCACTGAGTTTAAACTGGATTCGGAGTTCTCTCTCTTCCTCCGCTTTCCGACCAGTGATTTTCGCTTACCGGCAAGCTATACATACAAATTGCCGCGACACGTGGGAAAAGCTTTCGCGCGAGGCGATCGAGGTGTTTTCGCTATCACCGCGTTTTACAAGCCCGGGATCAGTCTCGTGTCCGAGCGCAAAAATACCCATTCTGAAAATGAGACAATTCATTTGCAATCGTATGTTATTTTGATATCTTGTTTTATTAGATGAAGCTGTGGAACGAATCTCTTCAGCTCCCAAGAGAAAATGTTTAATATTCTTTAACGTGGATTTCCCTCTCTCTCTCTCTCTCTCTTTTTTTTACCGTAGAATATATACGGACCCAGAGTATCTCCTCTGCTTTCGTTATAATGATAATGATACGACGAGAGATAACGAGAGAAAATATTTCGCGCTTCCAGTTTTTTCATTAGCGAATGGAATTGACAAGATAAATAATTGTTTAACCGATTAATTGCGTAGACGCAATCAACGGGAGAATCGATTCTGTATTTTACGCGAGGATTTTATCTCGACTTTCTTTTATCGCGATCTTCCCGGTGTTTACATTGAAACGTTCAGAACGGCGGAGTTTCGCTCGCTCGCACGAGTTAATTGCTACGAAACATAACTACCGACTATAAATGTTCGTGGTCTAGATAAGCCGATAACATCGTTATCGCCCCGTCGAAATACCCTCCCGCTAATATCGGACAGATGCTCGGCGCAAATAGAGGCAAAACTGATCGCGGTGAAAAAACGTCGCGACTCGAATTTCGACACCTGATAAAACACTGACGATCTTTCGACGACACGGTCGCAATTCGTCGCAAAAAAAAAAGAAAAAAGAAGAAAAACTGCATCGCTGCGTCATCCAGCGTCGTGTCGTTCGTATGCATTCGTTGCTGTGCTCGAAATCCCGGAAGAATCATCGTTCGCGCAGCGTACGCACCCGGTGGGAATCACGCACTTACAACTTACAACACCGTGTCCGCCGCGTATCAATAATGACGATAACGCACGTCTGCGATATAGCGATAATCATTTTTTCTCGTTCCTATCGGATTATCGAGAACAGGTAGATTCTCATTCGTAGTTCCAACTCGCGACGGCGACGAAGAAGTCGTTGCCGTAAAAAAGCACGCGGCTTATTCCGAACGAAAAAACGCTGGATGGACATTCTCGCGATATTTGTTGTATCTATTGGAGCGCCTGCTTTCTCCCCTCCCCTTCGATCTTTTTTCAACAGAGCGCGGGAGAGAAGATAATATAAGCATGATAGAACCGATATCTTGTTTAAATACGATTCAGTGAATCGCACGGGTGTAGCTCTATCGATTTTCATCTTCCGCGCTTCTCCGCTCTTCTTTTTCTCCTCCCGTCTCTGCTCTCTCTCGTTTCTCCTTTCCTCCGCTGTCTATCCTTAATTCTTTTAACCGTATATCATTAATTCACTACCGTAGCGCAGGATTTTACACACTGTTCCCGTCAGGAGTGGAAAGAACGTTAATCATACCGGTTAGAAAGCGCGGGACAACTCGGTGGCAGTCGACCGGGCTGGGGGGAGAGGGACGCGCGAGACGCGCGAAAGAAGCGACATAAAATATCTCGGTGCTGAAGTTTGACGGGAAGTTGGATAATTTTAAAGTCAAGCGCAGTTAGCCGGACAAACGAAACGCACTTATTGTCGAGCGTTTCGTCGTAGACGGCGGAAGCGGCCTCGTAACCAGTCGGATACTTTTGCTGTAAACCGTCTCTAAAGCCGGGCAAACAGCCGCCACCGACCAGCACCCCACACGTCAACCCCCTTCGCACATCCCTTCACTTCTCCTCGACCTACCTCCGTGGCCTTCTCTTCTCCACCACTATCACCATCACTACCACCACCACCACCACCACCACCACCATCACTACCCTGTACCCGTTCGCTCGATGGGGCAACTCCCTTAATGAGTTTCTCGGGTATTCGATGCGGAATGCGGGCTCTATTCAAACTTGTTCGGCTTTCGTAACGCCCCGCTCTCTGGGATTCTTGCAAGAACGGCATTGCGTCGAGAACGGTAACGATATCTCGTTCCTCTAGCATCTACTTAGCTCTCTCGTCCGACTCGTGACTCATATCGCCGGATCCCTTAACTCCTTCCGCTCGATCGCGTGTTGAACTCCGCCGTTCCGAGGATTTTACCGGAGGCAAAAGGCACGGGACAAAAGCTGGGAGAATACATTTCGGCGAGGAGAAGACGATTTCCCTCCGCTTCTGGCGCAGATCTGGCGTCGTATCAGTCCGGCGCAATTTTTTAGCGACTCACGGCCGCAACGACACGTCTGTATCCCGGCGTCTCGGTTGGTTTTATTTCTGCAGTGCAGTCGCAAGAAAGCAATTACGCTGAGGAAATAAGTGAACGCTACCTTGAGCCGTTATTCGTGGCTGGAATATATGACGTTGAATTATCGCAGTTCTCCGCCGGTACTACTATTTCGGCTAACACTTTCGCGCGTTCACTCGTGCTCGCTCTCTCAAAGGAGAAACTCAAATTCGGAAAATCTCAGATAACCTTTGGAATAAAGGAATCCCTCGAGCTGTAATAGGAATAATCGCGGCGCATACGATCGATGATTACAATCACGCGCTCGCTCCATGTTTATCTCTTATTCTTTATCATTCACCATCCCCCCGTGTCCGAGGAACGAATCACACGCGTGCGACGCGATCTTACGTGAGCCGAGCAGATTGGCTCAGCGCATTCTTTTAGCGACGCGCGGTCGCAACGATCGAGCTCATATCCTGGCGCCGCAATTACCTCGTAACTTGGTCCTATTTTTGCGACGCGTTCGATGGAACCTCATCGGTCTCGATTGTTTGCGCAAGACGAGAGCCGCCGTCGACGACGATGACTGCGACGACGACGCTCGGAATTTCCGTGGGGAAAGCGAAGAAGGAACTTCGTTTCGCGTTGTCGAGACGAGGTCTTCGTTATCAGGTCGACGAGTTCGGCGATCGATCGGACGTCGTCGCGCTCGGGGATCTGCGATCTCGTGTTTGCGAACGAACTTGCATTCGCGATCCCCGAGTGCGCAGAGCGAAGGGCGAGAGAAAAGAACGCGAGAAGTTGGCCTCTCGTGGCCGAGCGGAACTCGGCGGCAATCCTCCGTGAGACGGACTTATTAATTCCGAAAGGATTGTCCTTCGACGGCGCTGAGAGACATCCGAGGTTGTGCGCAGTTCTTCCGTTTTTTGCTCCATCGCGCGATAAGTTAATTCGATTCCCGGGGCATCTTGGACACGCGATCGCGAGACTTTTCCAGCGGCCTTTCGCAAAATTGATCACGTCGTGGCGGCTATAACGACTCGCTTATAACGACATGGAAGTCCAGGATTTGGCTCTCGACTCGATGGAATTCCCCGTTTTCTCGTTGGTCACTGCTAGTGTCAACGGCCAACGCTTCGATTAGAATTTTTTAATTATACGCGCTCTGACAAGATTGGGCATCCGCTTGCTCTTCAGCGGAAGTTTCGCCGGGATGATCGCGATGATGTAATTACATTTTCACCAAACGAGCCGTATCTGTCGCGTTACACGTTTGACTCGCGCGCCATCTTTTCGCTGTTCCCCAGGCCCCCGCTCTCTCCCCCGGTCTCTTGGCGCGCAATCGTATGCACCCTTTCGGACCGGCCTTTCGTCCAATCCATCAG